GTTTCTGATGTAATAGTTAACATTAAGTAATTTCAATAACAAAATTGTTTAGTTTTTGTAGCATATAAAATACTGACTACTTTATCAGTATTCAAGTTTTGTCGTAATTGTGAACAATGTAATTCAGTTCATCAATATTCGAAAGAGTATATATTAACCATAAGTGAAAACTGAACTCAAAAACTTGTAGTGAGTGAATAGAGAGAGTATTAATATTATCTAACAAAATAGCTTTACATCAATTTATTTTAGTGAATATGTCAAAATTAAAAAAAGTTTGTTGAAAGTCCTAATATATTCTGAGTCTTTATTTAAATTGCATTGAACTGAATTAAAAAAGAAATTTAAAATGCAGTATAAACTATATCTTTGATGATCAGTAGCTTGTATGTTGATGGTCAAAAAAATTTACTAAATGATTTGATATTATTATCGAGGCTGGCATTGAACAATTCTTTAACCAAAGAGATCTCTTCTGGCCTCTTCCATCAAATTAAAGGTTTGAAATATATCTTTAAGATCTTCTGTTGTAAAATAAAAAAAATCGTTTTAGGAAAAAATTTCAGAGATTTTTTTTACGAAATATGCACCCATGAGAAATTGCCATATCTCAGGCTCTGGAAATTATTAACCCCTGATTTGCAAAAAACAAAAAATAAATAAATTAACTCAAAATAATATACTTTTCTCCAAGTGTACACAAAAAATATTCATAAATAAATTTTTGATTTAAGTTCTTAATTAAATTTTAATTTAAAATCTAAAAATTTGGATATGGTATTATTTTCAGAAGTAATTTGAAAAAATTAGCTCCGAAGAAATGGAAATGGAAGAATTTCTCAAAACCAGTACGATTAACTTTGAAAATAAAATGAAAATTATAATAATAAATATTATGTATAGATAATTGTACAGAAAACTTCTAAAATGCATCAGAAGCATGCAAAACAGATTATAAGAGACATACTTTATGTAACCCTTAGAATTATGGTATCTACTACATAGAAAGACTGAACGTCAATGGGGCGACAAAATAAAACATTATCTTAAATAAGGAATAACATGCAGCGGATTAGATTGAAAAATATGGAGCTTCTTTTGGAGATGGCTGGAAATGGAGATCCTGTTTTATATATTATTAAAAATTTGTATTAATGTATTTTGTGAATGTAAGTGAATTTAAAAAAAAAATGTAAATAACATTTAACATCATTAAATATATCATAATATAGGTTCGCAAGCAGTATTAAAACTCAAGATAGGAGAATCGAATTTGAGGGAAGCCTAACAAAAGTTCAGGAACTGGGAAAAAGGGTATTATAAAAAACCAAGAAACAGATATATAAATCTCTCTTCAGCAGAAACGAACCTTATTATAAGTATACAGTAATATAGAATAAAACGATTAAATTTCATTCCAAGAGAGTTTAACTAATAACGCAAATAGTTATTGTTCTGCAAGATTTTCTATAAGAAATATCAAATATATATATGGAAAACATTACAATGAAATAAGGAAATCAATTTGAAGAACAAAAAGTTGCATATAAGAAAGACGAAATTTATTGATTCAGAAAAAAGTAGTAGTGGATTGGTATATTAGACATTTTTATTGGTTTTTTTTATCATTTTAGAGAATACAATCCAAAGAATATATATTAAAATATTTTATGCATATAGCACAGTACACAAAATCTATCTGAATAAATTTATTCATTCATTAATTTTAAAGTAATTATTATTATTATTATATTGTCATAAAATATAGAACATTTTTCTTTAATTTTTAAAACATATTTAGAAGTCTTACCCTCGAATAAAGTTTTTAAAAACAACACTAGAAGTATAATCAAAAATCAAAGAACAGAACTTTCTTCACTTTTTAGACACGAACTAATATAGTACTGATTTAAATTAGGAAATGCAAACGGATTTTATAGACGTATTAAATGGAAAGTACTACCGAAGGTCATATTTGTTAACTTTTACCTGGTATATGTGTTGGTAGAAAAACTTATCGACACAATCCTCCCTTGAAATTTGGCAACGTTGCCAATCATCTTTCGTTCGTCTTTCAATCTATGAAATATATTTTTATCATATCTCATATCTCTACAATTAATAAGATTAAATACTTAATAACAATCATGATTATTAATCACTGGTCGTGTATTAATCTTGACTAATTTGTCCAAAAATCGTGAGGTTGATATTTTATATTATTTATACTTTCAAAACTTTTTAGAAATGATTCAATCGAACATTCTCTGGGATATTATATTTGATATATAGCTTTATATATACAAAAATATTAAGTTATATTTTTTATTTGCTTGCTTAAGCCGATGCTTCGATAATTTCCCAAAAATATGTTATAGATCTCTTGCAACTTTATCTTCAAAGTTATCAATTTGAAGATATAAAACACATGGCTGTGTGATTAGTCTTATTGTTCAGAAATTGCTGAAATTTTTAAGAGATAGTCGGTTAGAATTTGTTTGATAACCAATTTTCATCATTTCTATTTGTGTTATGAAATATACACGTTTTGTTCGGGAAGTATAAGCTCTCCTTCTCCTTTTCCTGGTGTATAAAATGACGGCGCATTCGATTTATTTAATGGTTTGCTACACTTCATTAATATTATTTCATTTTCCATTAGTTCTTCAATAATATATTTATGGTTCATTTTTTGTGGTTATGAAAATCGATAACGTGATTGACTTTAATGCTAATTGATAATAATAAATAAGTTTTTCCCTCAGCTGTTTTTACCATTTGCATTTATCGACATATTTCACAAAGGTTCATTCGCAATTCTCACTATTGTGAATGCACACACATATGTTAACCTAGTGACCTAGTTTTTATTTAAGAATTCACAATTATTCACGAAATATGAGAAAACTACACACAAATAAATATTTGAATTTATAATTTTAAACTGTACATAGTTTTATATACCATATTATGTTTTGTGAGAGCAATTAGATTATGAAATTGATTGAAATCAGTAGCGAGGTGAGTAAAATATTATTATTGTAAATAATTGTTTCTGATGTAATAGTTAACATTAAGTAATTTCAATAACAAAATTGTTTAGTTTTTGTAGCATATAAAATACTGACTACTTTATCAGTATTCAAGTTTTGTCGTAATTGTGAACAATGTAATTCAGTTCATCAATATTCGAAAGAGTATATATTAACCATAAGTGAAAACTGAACTCAAAAACTTGTAGTGAGTGAATAGAGAGAGTATTAATATTATCTAACAAAATAGCTTTACATCAATTTATTTTAGTGAATATGTCAAAATTAAAAAAAGTTTGTTGAAAGTCCTAATATATTCTGAGTCTTTATTTAAATTGCATTGAACTGAATTAAAAAAGAAATTTAAAATGCAGTATAAACTATATCTTTGATGATCAGTAGCTTGTATGTTGATGGTCAAAAAAATTTACTAAATGATTTGATATTATTATCGAGGCTGGCATTGAACAATTCTTTAACCAAAGAGATCTCTTCTGGCCTCTTCCATCAAATTAAAGGTTTGAAATATATCTTTAAGATCTTCTTTTGTAAAATAAAAAAAATCGTTTTAGGAAAAAATTTCAGATTTTTTTTTTACGAAATATGCACCCATGAGAAATTGCCATATCTCAGGCTCTGGAAATTATTAACCCCTGATTTGCAAAAAACAAAAAATAAATAAATTAACTCAAAATAATATACTTTTCTCCAAGTGTACACAAAAAATATTCATAAATAAATTTTTGATTTAAGTTCTTAATTAAATTTTAATTTAAAATCTAAAAATTTGGATATGGTATTATTTTCAGAAGTAATTTGAAAAAATTAGCTCCGAAGAAATGGAAATGGAAGAATTTCTCAAAACCAGTACGATTAACTTTGAAAATAAAATGAAAATTATAATAATAAATATTATGTATAGATAATTGTACAGAAAACTTCTAAAATGCATCAGAAGCATGCAAAACAGATTATAAGAGACATACTTTATGTAACCCTTAGAATTATGGTATCTACTACATAGAAAGACTGAACGTCAATGGGGCGACAAAATAAAACATTATCTTAAATAAGGAATAACATGCAGCGGATTGGATTGAAAAATATGGAGCTTCTTTTGGAGATGGCTGGAAATGGAGATCCTGTTTTATATATTATTAAAAATTTGTATTAATGTATTTTGTGAATGTAAGTGAATTTAAACAAAAAATGTAAATAACATTTAACATCATTAAATATATCATAATATAGGTTCGCAAGCAGTATTAAAACTCAAGATAGGAGAATCGAATTTGAGGGAAGCCTAACAAAAGTTCAGGAACTGGGAAAAAGGGTATTATAAAAAACCAAGAAACAGATATATAAATCTCTCTTCAGCAGAAACGAACCTTATTATAAGTATACAGTAATATAGAATAAAACGATTAAATTTCATTCCAAGAGAGTTTAACTAATAACGCAAATAGTTATTGTTTTGCAAGATTTTCTATAAGAAATATCAAATATATATATGGAAAACATTACAATGAAATAAGGAAATCAATTTGAAGAACAAAAAGTTGCATATAAGAAAGACGAAATTTATTGATTCAGAAAAAAGTAGTAGTGGATTGGTATATTAGACATTTTTATTGGTTTTTTTTATCATTTTAGAGAATACAATCCAAAGAATATATATTAAAATATTTTATGCATATAGCACAGTACACAAAATCTATCTGAATAAATTTATTCATTCATTAATTTTAAAGTAATTATTATTATTATTATATTGTCATAAAATATAGAACATTTTTCTTTAATTTTTAAAACATATTTAGAAGTCTTACCCTCGAATAAAGTTTTTAAAAACAACACTAGAAGTATAATCAAAAATCAAAGAACAGAACTTTCTTCACTTTTTAGACACGAACTAATATAGTACTGATTTAAATTAGGAAATGCAAACGGATTTTATAGACGTATTAAATGGAAAGTACTACCGAAGGTCATATTTGTTAACTTTTACCTGGTATATGTGTTGGTA